CCCTGCGAGCCCCCCCCCCGCTCCCCCAGCCCCCCACAGCTGCCCCACCTGCCCCAGCTCCAGGTACTTTTAAAAAAAGCCTCAGTGCTCACCAGGTGCTGCCAGGCAGGGGGGTGATCCCTATTGCCCCACACTGCATGGGGGGCTCTGCATGCCCTACCATGGGTACCCTGCCTGGGCCAGCTCCAGCCCTTTAAGAAAAAAACCCCAAGAAAAGCCCTGGGACTTGCTGCTCCTGGTGCAGCCTTGGGGCTTTGAGGGCTCATGCAGAGTCCCCCACGCGGCAGCAGGGATCACCCCCCACCAGCAGGAGCAGTGTGTCCAGGGGTTTTTTAGGTTTTTTTCCTGAAAGGGCAGCTGGTCTGGGCACGGCTCCCATGATGGAGCTGGGAAACCGAGCGGGGCAGGGGGGCTCGTACAGAGCTCCCCATGCAGTGGGGGGCTGCAGGGATCGTCCCCTGATGGGCAGCACCCGCTGAGTCAGGGCTTTTTTTTTTTTTTTAACAAGTGCTGGCAGCTGGGGCAGCCATTGCCAGGCTGGGAGAGGGCCTGGCCTGGAGATTTGGCAGCAGCCAAATCTCTGAATCAGATTCCGCTGAATCTAATCAGGACAGTGATTCGAATTACTGAATCAAATCACTGTCCCCCGAATCAGCCGAATCCAAAGCAAATACTAGCTGCTTCACACAGGCCTACTCGGTAAGAATCTTCTTGTTTTTAAGGTCTGACTGGATCATCATTTATGTAACATCTTTGTTAGAAGGCCATTTACTTTTTGCCCCAGCTCCCTGATAACATTAACAGCTTCTAGGTTTGGCAGACCCACATCACTACTACTATAGCTTATGTTTTAAGGTGAAATAAAGGGTGCAGTGTAAGCACTTCCTCTTTCCCTGCTTATTGCCAGACCTGCACTGTCTACAACATGAGGCAGAATGATTCTTTGTGAGCAGACTGCCACCATCTGAACTCTGTATGGAGTTAGGCATCTCATTTTGTGTGGCATTCTTATGGTGTGTGCGAGAATGAAAACAAATTTGTTTGCTCATCAAAAACGTCATCCCTGTAAAATCTACATTTTTTCCTCCAAACTACTGAGTTTAAAGGGCTGGGTAGAAACTTTTTTTTAAGTTTTTAAAATGTCAAGCTTTTCTACTACAGGACAGTAGTTTTGAAGCTGAAAACATTGATAATAAGCTGTGAAAACACTACATAGTGCCTTACACCCATGAAAGTTGTGCAGTGGATGCAACTGATGCAGGACAGACCTCCAGCCAACTATATTAGCACTTGAATTCCCCATTCATTACAAACCACTTCATCTTTTCTTCCAAACAGAGTGAGCCTCCTGAGGTGACAATAAACTGGCCGTTTCCAGAACAAATAATTATTTTAACCCCTTTGAACTCTGGGGATGTAGTAAAATATAATTATCACTATAAAATGCTTTCCAGTGTCGTCTTTTGTGTAGAGCAGAGGTCTCGTCTCTGTTTAGTTGTTAAAATGCACGAGATGCTAATAACAAGCCATTTCCTGTGGGGGGACAGCTGTTCCCGTGTGCATATGAAAAGGTGGACTTGCTGTTCTCCACTGATGCCATGTTATGACCTAACCTTGTATGCTGTATTTGTATTATGCTTCATTTCAATTTAATATTTTCTGTTTGCTGTTAGTTTATATGTTACTAGCCTTGTATATTAATAAAGAATCATTTTAACTCCTTTTGATGCAGAACTCTGTAGACTGTTCTTTTTGCAGAAGAGCCAAGTCACAGTGATCAGGTTTCTGCCTACTG